CCCAGACCCGGTGGCTTAAAACTCACGCCAGGCACGTGTGCGTGCGTGCCCAAGATCCCGAGAGGAGATTGGAGGAGAAGGGATTGTGGCGTGACCATCCCCCCTGGGGGGTGATTTCTCGTTTTCTGTCTCTCTGTCTCTCTCTGTCTGTCTGGCAAGCGCACGCACACTATAGCGAAAATCTCTCCAAAACAAACAAACAAACAAACAAACAAAAAACAACAACAAACAACAAAAGAAAAGATCCCAGTGACCTTCACTTCCCTCAGAAGGAGAGAGACCTCTCCCGAGCCTCTCTCATTGATGTTCTTCTCAAACCCCTTAAATAAAGGGCTCAGCCAGCCCCGTAGCCTAAGTGATTAATGGAGGTGATTGTGGTTCAAGCTCCTGTCTGCAGTAGCTTGGGAAACCCACCAGGCCCAGTGTGTGTGCCCAGGGTCCCGACAGGACGGAGAAGTAGAGGAGAGGGGATAGTGGTGTGGTCATGGCCTATTGGAGGCTGCTCTCCTCCCTGCCCTGGCCTTTGTCTCTCCCTAGCAGGCACGTGTGTCATCTGGCAACTAAAAGAAAGAAGGAGAGAAAGGGATCTGTTGCCCCAGCTCCGTTAAGTGCCCATCCCTGGACCATCACTGTGGCCAATGGCATGGGACTCTCTTATTGGCCAAGCTTGGGTTCCAAGCCCACCCCTATGTGAAGAGGGGGGTTGGGTGAGGCTTGTGGAATTCACCTTCATTTAGCTAATGTGGAATGGGTATCCATAAGAAAGGCAGGACTCTCCCCAAAAGCAAGGTGAGGAGATTTGGGAGGACAAAATCTGCGGATTCCTACCTGTGGCAAGCGTTTAGTCGGGAACTGCTGAAAGAATTGACTAGGATGGAGAACACGAGGACCACGGCGGGCTCTTGCTTAGCCTGAAGGTCTGGATGTCTCTGAGGCGTGACAGGCAAGCAGAGTAGGCTGTCTTGGCAGGGCAGACAGATTCGGCAGGTATGGCCACGCCGGCAGGAATGTAGCAGCTGCAGGACTGGCAGAGAGCCCATGGGGTAGACTGGACGAGCAGGTGGGTGTGAAGAAGGGGTGCCTTGGCAGCAAAAACAGATGCACCAGGGGAGCTGCCCAGGTAGAGGGAACTGGCCCTGGTGGGGAGCTGCCTCAGGGCTGGAGGGCAGCCAGGGTGACCAGAGCATAGTGAGTGGAGAGAGAGTGGTCAGAGAAGGGTTGGCCAGGCAGGGCCTCAAGAGCCCCAGCAAAGATGCCAGGTTTGTGCTAAAAAATAATGGGGTGTCACTGAAGGACTTTTCGGGCGAGGGAGGTGACTTGAGCTGATTAAGATTTTTTTTTAATTTATTTATTTAGAGCAATTTTTGCTATAGGGTGTCTGCACTCTATACAGAAAGAAAGAAAGTGAGAAATCACCTCCTGGGGGGATGGCCACACCGCAATGCCTTCTCCATTCTCCACTTGGGATTTTGGGCATGCACACATACCCCAGTGTAAGTTTCAAGCCAACAGGTCTGGGACTCGAACTGTGGTTGACCACATGGGAGTATAGCGCTGTAACCACCATGCTGCCTGCTGGCCCTGATCTATACTTTTTAAAGCTTGGTCTGGCTGCTGGGGAGAACGAATTGGAGGGGTGGTGGGATCGTGACACCCCAGCTATGTGGTATCTTGATCCTCCCTCTTCTCTTCTCATTGAAACTTGAGATGCAGGAGCCTTTGATGAAGTGACCTCATGCCTGGTGAAGGTGACAGAGAAGAAGGAAGATGGCCACCACACGGGTCTGGTATGCCCCTGTCACCCTGGCTGACTCCCGCAATGTGCCCCAGCCGCTGTGCCTGGCTCCTCTGCCGGCTCTTCTCCCCTCCTCACACTCAGCACCGTCTGAGGCACTGGTGCTGCGCTTACTCTAAGTCTGATCTCTCCTCGGCTTTCCGCAGGAACGTGTCCCCCAGAACCTGGAGGTTTTTGTCTGTCTTATTCACTGCTGTGTCCTACTGTCTAGAGCAGTGCCTGGGACACAAAAGGTTTTTAAAAGGTTTTTAAGCAACTGAATGAATTGTGGGAGTGGCCCTGGAGGGGAAAGAATGGCCTTTTCCAGGACACAGACTCAACAGGGGTCTGGGCCAAGCAGTGAGCCTCGGGTGGCCAGAGAAGGCCAACCCAGCAGGAGCACAGCAGCTGCAGGACTTGGTGAGGGCCTGTGGGGCCCTGGAGGTGCCGGTGGGCGTGAGCATGACACACAAAATGCAGGCAAGACATTCGCTGATGGAGTCTGGAGGCAGGGGACCTACCCAGGCCAGGATGCGTGGGAGGGAGGGCCTGGGCAGCGAGGGGCAGGGGACAGGGAGAGGGGACAGGACTCAGACGAGCCTGCAGCTGGAGGGCATTTGTCCTCATTCCCCGAATTCTCAGTCACCCACCTTGCTCCTGCCACGCTGGCCTTTTCTGTTTCTCACAGGATACCAGACCCTTCCTGCTTCAGGGCTTTTGCACTTGTTCCCTTTGCCAAGAAGGTTCTTTTCATCTGTAAAATGGCTCCATAAAGATGAAGCCTACGTCTGAAAATGTGCGCGCAGTACTGAGCGTGGTGCCTGCACGGAGGAGGTGCATTACTGCTGCAATTCAGCACTTTTTGTTGAGCTCCTACTATGTGCTAGGCACTGTTTCAAGCACTAGTATATGACAGTGACCTGATTTTTTAAGTTATTTATTTAGGGACCAGCAGATGGCGTAATGGCTGGGTCGCTGGACTCCTATGTAGTTGACAGTGGTTCGAGTCCCGGACCCAGTGGCTTAAACTCATGCCAGGCATGCCCAAGATCCTGAGAGGAGAATGGAGGAGAAGGGATTGCGTTGTGGCCAATCCCCACTAGGGGCTGATTTCTCGCTTTCTGTCTCTGTCTTTCTGGAGAGTGCAAGTCCTCTATAGCAAAACACTTCTCAAAAAAAAAAGTTATTTATGTGATTTTATTCATTATTATTATT